CCAGGGAGTTCAGGACTAGTGCCAGGATAATGACCTTGGACTATTCTCTCAGGGCCTTTTGAGCTGCTTGTGATTCCCTGCACCCTACCTTTGGCATTCTACATGTGCAACAGAATTCCAGCATACAAAGATCCCAGCAAAGGCATAAAGGCTTTACCTATTAATATAGCTATGTACAAATGTGTGTATGCACCTCTATATTCTGTTGTTCTATGTTCTACAGAGTGAAGAGGGATAACACAAAATCCTAAGTGACAAATCCTAAGAAAGAAAATCATATCCTTAGACACATAATGAGAAACAGTCACAGGGCTACAGAGACCAAACAGTAGGGAAAGCAGAGCAGGCACTAAAGTGTTGTTGGCCCTGTCCCAGTACAGGTTCAGAGAAGCTGTGACTTGCCTATGGTTATGCACTTTGAAATGTTGCAATGGTATTTGAATCCAAGTTTCTGGGATTCATGTTCCAGCTCTCTATTCACTATGCCACACACCTCTAGATTTGGGAATCATTAGTTTAGAGGAATAGCTAAAGCAGTGGGAGCTGATGCAATTACTAAGGAGCTTAGAGAAAGAAAAAGGCCCAAGGAGAGAATCTTAGGGAATAATACATCCTTAAGGGGTCAGGAATAGGACCAGCAAAAGAGATTGAGGAAGAGCAATTAGTTAAGAGGAGAACCAGGAGAATGGCTTGGAAGCTAAGGTAGAAGAAAATATTAAGAAAGAGGGGTAAAGTTGATAGTATAGAATGCTTCAAATAGTTAAGGAGGATGAGCACTGAGGAAAGGCCATCATATTGAGAGATTTCAAGATCTAGGTGACACAGTGGGACTTGAGTTCAAACTTGGCCTCACACACTTATTAGCTGTGGGACCCTGGCCGAGTCCCATAACCTCTGTCTGCCTTAGTTTATTCAACTGTAAAATAGGGATAATAACAGCACCTACCTTGCAGGGCTGTCGTGAACAGATAGAATGAGATAAAATTTGTAAAAGGATTAGCACAGTGCTGGCATGTAATACATACTTAATAAATGCTGTTTTCTTCCCTTCCTTCCTTCTTTCCTTCCTTCCTTTCTTCCTTCTAAGCTAAATATCCCCTCAGCTCACCAGAAGCCAGAAGCTTGACCTTTATAATTCCTAATACATCCTGTCTAGGAAGGGCAGGATTCTAAAATCACCACATAAGGATGAAGTGAAGGCCATGGTTGGGAGGGAGGAGGGAAAGGGGTGTTCACTGACTGAGCATTTACTTTCTTCAGTTTCCTTGCATTTCTATCCTGATTGTGGACTGCTCCACCTACCCACTTTTTCAGGTTGGCCCAAGCACAATTTAATTCTCTTCCCACTTTCAGGCAATCTCCTTACAGCTGATCCATTCTCCTCCCCACATCTATCTCCATTTCTTGAGGCACAATCTAATAAACTCTGTCATTGTTTCTGGAAGGGGTATGCCAGTGGGCAGCCCCCCGCCCCCCCCCTCCCCGGCAGGATTGTTTTCCTGTATTAGAAGGTAAGTTCATCAAAGAAAAGCAAAGATGGCTGAAGAAAATGTGACATATGAGCAGAATGGAACATTTTTTTTCAACAAAAGTGCCTCTTTCAGAGAATCTTGGGTAATGATAGCAACCAATACAATATTTTAAGGTTTGCACAGCACTTGCCATATGTTATTTCCTTTGATCCTTACAACAACCCTGGGAGGCAGGCACTATTATTATTACTATTATACAGATAAGAAAACTGAGGCAAAGAGAGGTTGGTCGACACATCTTGTGTCTGAGGCAGCATTTGAACTCAGGACTTCTTAAATCCAAGTCTAATACTTTATGGCTATTATCAACCATTACTGAGTTTGTTCTGAGAAAGATAAACAAAATTAGGCTCTGTGTGCAGGTTTATTTCTCTCAAAGCTTGTGGAACATGCAAATAGAGATATGTGTGGGAGTTCATTGTAGAAAATGAACCCAAGGATGGACAGACAAAGGGGACCTTCTCACCCCTCCCTCCCTTCCTGGCCCAGGATGCCTATGTCAGCCAAAATTATAGTCTGCATGTGTGTTAACCATAGTATGAGAAAGGAATTTCTTAAGTGTATAGACTGTAAATACAATAGCATAAGAGAATGTCAAAATATCAATTGAAATTATAAATCCAGGATGTCTGTGTTTCTTCTATCATTAACATGACATGATATGACATAACATAACATGATATAACATGTGTCTATAGAACACCAAGATAAGAAATGTCTCATTATTGAAGATAATGTCTGGTCCAAGGCACCCTGTCATTGGTAGTCATAAACAGAAGAATGTTCCTGGTCAGCTTCATCTGGCCTTGTAGTTGCTAACACAGGAAGACGCATGTTGAATTCACCTAGAGAGCAAAGCAAAGCCTGTCTGTTATGGCAGAGGATGCAAAGCATTATGGGAAGTTAAGCCAAAATGGGCCAAAATGTCTCTCCTTATTGGCCAATCCAGGTTTTAGGCCTTTCTCAGGTCTTGGGGGTTCAAAATAGTTTGGGGAGGAGTCCACACTACACACTGTACAGATTAGTGGCTGAATTTACACAGAATAATTTAAGCAGAAACAGGAAAATGATTTATACAAGGTCAAAAAACTTTGTAAAGAAAAACACTGAAAAGATTTGGGAATTCTTATCAAGGCAAAGTGTCTCCAGAGCACCAATGATAAAGTATGTTACTTCCCTCCTGTCTCAAGGTTCAGAAATAAACATATGTTTCTGGAAATCACTAATGTGTGGATTCCTTTTGCTTGACTATTCTTATTTGCTACAAGAAGGAATTAACAATAGTGATGCCAAAATTTAAAAAAAAGGAACGTTGAAAATATATTTGAAGCACTCAGAAGGGAACAATAGAAAGTTTAGAAGCAAGCACAAATAATTTTTAAAGAAATACGGAATTATATACTTTTTTAAAAAGCAAGTGCTATGAAATAAGAGTTTAATTTCTTATAAAATCCTATCTTCCTATTATGCTTTTGTATGTGGAAATGCTGGGGTGGGGTGTGTGTGTGTGTGTGTGTGTGTGTGTGTGTATGTGTGTTTAATTTCAGGATAAAAACATACAAATTTGGAAAAAGAAAGAAAAAAGAATGTAAGCTCCATAACAGCTAATGTTTTCTCTGCTTTTGCATTTGTAGCCACTTAGCACACAGTAAGAGCCTAACAAATGTTTTCTTTCATTAATTCAATTTACTGATATGTATAACACTGTGTTTGGCACTGAGGAAATAAGTGTATAACATGGTGCACCATTCCGCCTTCCAATCTTACTATCTTATGTGAAAGGTTCTGGCTTTTAAAGGCTCTTCACAACTTGGTCCCTTCCTATTCTTTCTTGCTTGTAACATATTGATAATGTCCAGGAACTCTGGGGTCCAGCTATACTGGCCTCCGTATGTACAGTCCAACCATACCGGCTTTCCTACAAAACTCTGCATCTCCTTGCCTTTTCAGTGGCTGTCACTGAGACCTGGAATGCTCCCCTTGCTAAACTCCACTCCTGAACATTTCCTGGCTTCCTAAAATTCAATCCAAGTGCACCCTCTTTCATGAAATCTTTCCTGGCGTCTCCCGGCCTCCTCCCAACCCCCAAGCTGCTAAAGCTTTTCCCACCAAGACTACTTCCCATCTATTATATATTTATCCTGCATTTACTTACACTGGTATATACGGACTCTATTAACAATGTAAACTCCTGCTCTTTCTGCCATCTTACAGTTCTGCTACCATGGTGCGCATGAACGTCCTGGCAGATGCTCTCAAAAGCATCAACAACGCAGAAAAATCGAGGAAAACACCAGGTTCTCATTAGGCCGTGCTCTAAAGTAATTGTCCGGTTCTTAACTGTGATGATGCACCATGGTTACATTGTCGAATTTGAGATCAGTGATGATCACAGAGCAGGAAAAATTGTTGTGAATCTCACGTGCAGATTAAACAAGTGTGGTGTAATCAGCCCCAGATTTGATGTGCAATCGAAAGATGTGGAAAAGTGGCAGAATAATCTGCTACTATCCCGTCAGTTTGGGTTCATTGTACTTACAACCTCAGCTGGCATCATGGACCATGAGGAAGCAAGACAAAAAGAGGAGGAAAAATCCTGGGATTCTTTTTCTAAGGGTGTAAAACATACAAATAAAAATGCTCCAATGGTTGGGGAAGAAGGTAAACTCCTTAAGCGCTGGGATTGATTTTGCTTGTTCTCTGTATCCCACCAAGCCCTGAGCACAGTGCTGGACAGCATAGTAAGTGATTTATTAATGTTTATAGATTAATTGAAAAATCTACTTTCCTCTGGTTTTCGGTTTTCAGTCAATTCTTGGCATCTAAATCTTCAAATCTCGAAATCTTCCATAATCCTTAAAGTCAAAGAAATTGATACAGAATGGATTGTATCAGCTTCTATACCGGGGGAAATTAAGGAACGTGCATAAGGTCGCCAGAATATAGCTGTTGGACCCTACTGTTCTCATCATTACGCACTATCCCCAGTAAAAAGATCTACAGCTCGTTCTCTGGTGATCACAGGTTTTTCCAAAAGGTCACCCTCCGCTTTTCTGGCTGCTTTCCTCCTACTTATGGGTGCTTTTTAAATTCCAAATAATTCCTGGAAATGGGTGAAGGCTTTATAGGATGTCCTAACATCTTCAGCCGGTCCGGATCAGAAACTCCCTTTCTGATTGGACAAGAGATCCGGTATTTACCTAGGGCACACTCCAATTGGCTTACGCTTTCCTCCTTATTCTCACGTCATCTTTGGCACTCCTTCCGCCCACACTGCCCTCCCTAGAGAAATATACAACGGGACTCCATTTTGTGAGTCTGTGAACGTGGAAGGGGAAATCAATCATACTTTTGTGCTGTGGACAGCCGGCGAAGTTTCCTTATTAAAAAACTTGACAACCTCCTTAAATTTTGTGCAACCTTATAAACTCTTGCCCTTTAAAATAGCATTAACAAAGCAAAAACAGCTTAAGTACAGAGCTATATTGTAGTATAAAACCTAGTGAACAAAAAAACCCCACCAGATGGGCAAATTACAGCTCCTTCATTAGAGAAGGGAGGGGGGCCCTGAAAAGGGCCTTTGGTTTTCCTTAGCGGGCTGGCAAATCGCAGCTGACTTAACCGCCGAAGCCGTAGAGCGTCCGGCCCTGGCGCTTGAGTGCGTAGACCACGTCCATGGCAGTGACCGTCTTCCTCTTGGCGTGCTCGGTGTAGGTGACGGCGTCCCGGATCACGTTCTCCAGGAACACCTTCAGCACGCCGCGGGTCTCCTCGTAGATGAGCCCCGAGATACGCTTGACGCCGCCGCGCCGGGCCAGACGACGGATGGCAGGTTTAGTGATGCCCTGGATGTTATCGCGGAGCACCTTCCTGTGCCGCTTGGCACCCCCTTTGCCCAGCCCCTTTCCTCCCTTGCCACGACCTGACATAATTACTGCTAAGCACTACCCAACAGTGTACTTTTCAGTGGGCTGCACTCCCTTATATATCCACCGGGCCGACCTGTTTGGGAACTGAAACAGCGCGGGCGGGGCCAGAGTTTTGGAGTTGTTTCCCGCCCACTATATTCAAGAATACGTCATTTTAAAACACAGAACAGATTCTCCTCTAATTGGAAAAAAACAAAAAACAAAGAACCCTTTCCTGATGTTTGATTTCGGTTCAGAAAAGGGAAGTTTAGATCTTTTCAGGTAAAATTTGCTGGGAGATTCTGTAAATAAATCCAGGTGCAAATAAGAGCTAAGTCTTCCATGCCCTGCCTCAGGAGTTCAGGTCAAAATAGAGAGGCGCTAAGGGCTGATTTATTTGATTTAAACTTTGCGCACTAAATCATGGAGTTAGATCTGGAAAGGACCCTACGGACCATTGTTCAGGTTTTCGTAACCTTTCTTGTGTCGCCGGTCCCTTCCTTTGGCAGGCTGGTAATGCTTATGAATCTGTTCTCAGAACCGATTTTAAAAATTGTACTGTTCACTTCACTATGCATTAGTTCATGTAAACCTGAACGTTTTTAAATGCTTGAAATTAAATATATAGGATTTCAAAGGAAGCTAATTATATTGAAATAGTTACCAACATTTTTTTTTAAAGTTCACGGTTAAGAACTCCTGATCCTGATTTGAGACCCTCCCGCCCTTATTTTGCAAATGAGGAAAACGGGGCCCAGGGAGAACTCAGGTAAACGTCAAAACTAGATTTGAACCTGAGTTTTGCCTTTCCTTTTACTAGCCTGATCCCTTAATATTGATTCAATAGTCTCTAAAGTTTATATAACTGTGAACTGTGAACCTCAGCCTACTCAAGCAAAACCTTCCTAGTGTGGTGGGGGTGGGATGAAAGCAAAAAAAAAATTTCCCCCAAATACCTGGTAGTGTTTATTGAAATTGTGCGATTTTAGGTCTGAAAAGGACAAGAAAAGCAAATTCATCCAACTTTCTCATTTTAAGGATAAAGAAATTAAGGCCCTTGGATTTGCTCCAGGCCATACAACTGGTGGATGACATCAGGAACTAGAACCCAGGTCTTTCAAATCCCCAACAGCTCTCAGAACAATCATTAAATTACCTCCTTTTCACAAAATCCCTCTATGAAGTCATCCTCTATCAACAGTGCATAAATAAGAAAGGCTTTGACTTGCCCAGGGTTGGGTGGTAACCATGAAAAGCATACTTCTGTTACCTGAGAACCAACATAAATATGGAAAGATTCTATAATTTATGGAGTTCATAATATTTATAGGATGCTTTTTTAAAGATTTGTAAAGCATTTTTACAAGTATAATCTCATGTTGTCCTCACCGGAGCCATGGAAGGTAGATGCTATTATTCTCCCCCTTTTCCAGATGAGAGAACTGAGGCCGACAGATTAAAGGATGCTCATAAGTATCTCAGCTCAGATTTGATTCAAGTTTCCCTGACTCTTAATCTACAATTCTGTCTACTGCACCACCTAGTTTAGAGAAGGTACAGCTTAAGAACAATAAAGCTTGGAGGAGTGAGAGAGGAGATACAGGTTATGACAGCAATCTAGTTTCACTTCCTGTTTTTATATTGACCTATTAGAGGAGTGTTCATATTAATAGGTAGCACTTTTTCTTTTTGGTAGCACCGTAATGTTTGCAGAATAATTTAAATGTTATTTCTTTTGATCAAGCCTGTGATGTAAGTGTTGTTGTTACCTCCATTTTGCAGATGAGGAAACTGAAGTTCAGAGAAGGTATTTGCCAATGGTCACACAGCTAATAAATTTCAGAGTTGACAATCAAGTCAGATTCTCCAAGTCACTCTAAGTGATTCCATTATATCTCCCTCTATAAACAAAGCTGAGGAAGCACAACATATTTGTCTTTGGAAATATAACTCATAAATTCGCTGTCACATATATTCATTGAGAGGAAGTAAGATGAGATGCCCAGAAGAGTATGATAATCATAGCCCTAGATGGGACTTGGGAGGCCATCTATTCCAAATACATCATTTCGTAGACCAGGAAACTGAGATCCTACAAGCAGTAACCATCAGAGGCAAGATTTGAACCTGGGTCTGATTCCAAAGTTGGAGATGGGGGAGGGTGTTCCATTGTAACCATGCAACAGAGTGCAAAAGTCTTTACAATTGCCTGTTACTGCCTTGTTAAGGCAAGGCTGTTGCCAATGGAAAGTAGCAGGCAGTTGAATATTTTTGAGAAAAGGTATGACATGATTAAATCCATGTGTAAGAAATGTTATCCTGTCAGTGTGAAGAGGTCTAGGACTTTTGGGGTGCTGCAACACTAAAATCGCGCTACCGGTCCGTACCTGAATGAATTCAACTCAAATCTTCTTCAAGGCAGAAGAAAAGTTTATTAGTGATAAATCACATAGGCCAGGTAATGCCCGTGAGGACGAGTGGGCATGAGAAAGTCTCAGCCTTTTGAGCATGAGGTTCTCAGCGTCTGAATGGGGGCCAGGGTGGAATTTGTATACACTAAAGTAACTATGGGTGTCCAGAGAAGGTGGCTGGGAAAAGGGTCTAGGTGAGAATTCTGATTGGAGGGTCTGAGAGATTGAATAGACAATGGGAATAGCTAATGGAGGGAACTGGAAGGCTGAAGTCTGAAAGGCATCAGCACAAGATCAAAGGGTGGGGCTAAGACTTTCAAAGGGAGATAAGGGGAGTCGATAACGAACCCTTTGAGACCAGAGTAAGGCCTCTCTGGGGCCCATAGACAAAAGGGAGCCAGATTCTTTTAGGATTAGGGGTAAAGTCGCATCTGAATAAGATTAAAAGGTAAGGCTAAGGCTTTCAAAGGGAGATGAAGTACTAGGGACTGTAGACAAATGGGAGTCAGATTCCCTTTGGTGCAAGGGGCAAAGATCTTGGCTTGGGCCCTGCCCCCATCAAGTGTGGGCATGACAAAGAAAGATAGTGGAAAGATCTGTTTGTAGGCTTAATACAGCAGAAGGAATACCGTGCCTGAAGTCCAGGGATTTGAGCTGATGTGCTGCCCCTCCTACTACTTTGCCACCTTGGGCAGGGCTAAGATACCATCTGGCAGACCTTTGCACTTTGGGCAGCCCTTTCCCCAAAACTTCCTGCCAATTACCCCTTCCCTTTCCACCCTCCTGGCTGTATGCTGACCAACTTTATCCTGACCTGACCTCTGCAGGAAGGGACACAGAGTCCCTGTACCATTCCATTCTTCAGACCAGCTCCCTAAATTCAGCATGGTCCCTCCAGTTCTTCCTTTCTATTCCCGAGTGAACATGGATGAGCAGGGAGTCACCACATATAACCTTCCTCGTAAGAAGGTAGGCCGCCAAGCCTTACTATCTCACCTGCCACTATGTTGTTTAATTCCCCATGCATTGCCATGTGACTTGCCAATGTACTCTAAGGACCCCCAGTCCTCCAACTTAACCTTCCTGTATTTGTTGAATGTGAGTTCTTTGAGAACAGTGAGCTAGCTCAATATTCGGTTTGTATTTCCAGCACTCAGCATAGTACTCCATGCATAGTGAATACTTAATATGTTTTCCATTTATCCAAAGCAATTAGGTCATACACACAAATCCCTTCACTTTGTAGAGCTAGGTATTGCTTCTACAAATAGCTAGTTCAAAGGGTGACCCTTTAAATAGTTCAACTGGAGTGCCAATGAAGGCCTGTCCTGAGGACTTGACCTAGGCTTATAGAATCATCCATTTACCTAGAGGTCACATGGTTCAACTCCTTCATTTTTACAGATGGAGAACCTGTGGCCTAGAGAACAGTAGCCCAACCAAGGGCACACCATGGCAGTGATGGGATTTGGACATGGCTACTGCTCTACCAAATCCACCTGGCTTTTCACTTCGCTGCCGCTGAAGCAAAGCTATTAGATGGCATAAGATTTGCAGGTGTATTATGGCTAGAATTTAGTAACTTATTATAAGAGTGATACCAGAGAGAAGGAGGTTGTGAAAATGGAAGACCTGGTGAATAGTGATAGAAGATGTACTTACAATGAAGGCAGGAAGAGCAGCAAGTTTAGGGAGAACTATTGAAATATCCTCCTAATTGGTCTCTTTACTACCAATCTCCCCCCTGTAACCAATTTTCCACTGAGCTGCCCAGATAGTGTCCCAAAGTACAGACAAGCCTGTTTATATCCTCAAAATCTTTGAAACTTTCTTAATGCCTTTTGAGGGAAATAGAATCTCCTCATCTGGACAGCTGAAGCTCTCCACAGTGTGATTCCAATCTACCTTTCCAGACATTAAACAGCATTCCCCTTCACGTTCTCTGTATTCCCACCAACCAGGCCTGTGTGCTGAGCTCTGCATTTCCTCTAGAACCTCATGGCTGTTGACAAGTTTGTGCTGAGTTTAAAATCCTTAACTTCCTTCAGGGCTCACCCTGGGCCTACCACCTCTTGTGTCTCTCTTCATTCCCTTACTGCTGTCTCCGTCCTCAAATTATCTTGCAATTTTTTTTTGCTGTATAAACGTTGCATCCCCAAGTAGAACGTAAGCTCCTAAAGGAAAAACACTATTCATTTTGTCTTTATGACCCCAGGTTCTGCTTGGCATTCTGTCTTGCACACAAAAATGCTTCATAAAAGAATAAACGAAGAAGAGGGAAAAGATAAAATCTGTTTGGAACACACTGAAGGCAGGGGAGAGCTGTTCACAGTGACAACATTTAGAGATACTGGAATTCTGCTGATAACTACTCCTAGGGCTATGTAAATTTGTGATATTATTATTGTTGGCAGGTTCAATGTGATTCATTTTTTTACCTTCCATAGTGCCTAGCACACTCTGCATGCCTCAAAACCACATTTTCACTTAACAGTAATAGGATATAAAGATGTTTAAGGTTTACAAAGGGCTGTTGTCACAAAAACTATTTCAGGTAGTAGTTCAAGTCTTACTGTCCTATTTTTACAACTAGAGAAACTGAGGCTTAGAATGGCTCAGTAAATCATCCATGACAGCAAAGCTGGCATGCAAATGCCAACTTTTCATTATACTATGCTGCTATGGATAAATGAATAGATAGATAAATAAATACACAGGTCAGGTTTCCTGTCAAGGCAGTCTGTTCCAGGTCTGTTCTGTTTGAGTCTTCCTTTGGGAAATCTAGGTGACCAGCTGAGACTAAGCTAAATTCAAGCTGGCTTCTCTTTAATAAAACAATGTCACAGAAGTATTATTCTTCATTCTTTTTAAGTTTTTGGGACAGTTTCCCCACTATAAGGCATGTGATTCTGTTAGGGAGGATGTAAAGTAATGGTACAAATTATTGGATGTTTTCAAGCATAACATAAATATATCTATTTCAACATATTTTCAAATCTTTTTTTTTACAGCAAACACAAAGTCAAATTCCAAGTCAACAGAAGTGAAACTAACACAGTGAATTTGCTCCAAGTGACAGTGAATGTAGAGTGGCATTTAATATGGTCCACTTAAATGAGGTCAAATTTAAGGACTAGGCTTTGTATGTGGTGGACAGAATTTGGGGGATGTTGGATGAAAATAATGGCCATTGATTTAAAAGTCCTGTATGTGTATGCATCTTTCTCACTGGCTGGCAAGGCTTCTAAGAAGGGGAAGGATTAAAATCATAGGCCAAGGTAGTCTACAACAGAGTAACTTTGTTTAGGGTTTCACGAGGGCAGGAAAGGTGGTTGATTATATTCGCCTTGTGTGTGAGAGTGATGATAAATCATCAGCCATATCAGAGGAATGAAAGAGAGTCCTTACACAGAATTAATGCATCTAGAGGCAAATTGATTGAAAGCTGTCTGAGGTCACAGACAACAGGGCCATGGATGGGGAGACTAACATTGTTGTTAGTTCAATGTCAATGTCAAAACTTCACTCCAACTCATCCCACAGGGCCAATGTGTGAAGTCTCGTGATTTCTACCTTCACAATCTCTTCTTTCAGGATGTGCCCTCATCACCTCTCTTCTGGCTTATTGTATCAGCCAGGTAGTTGATTGCTCTGCCTAATCTGTCATTCCTGCCCATTCTCCACACAGCTGCCAATGATCTTAAAATGAAGCTCTGACTATGTCACCTTCCTACACTGTAAACTACAGTAACTTCCTTTTACCTCCAGGATTACATAGAAAATTCTCTGGTTTTTAAAGTTCCTCACTCTAGCCACTTTCTATCTTTCTGGTCTTCTTACAATGTATTACCTTCCAAGGACTCTTGGTACAGTGATACTGGACTGGCTTCTTTGCTTTTTCTTCTAGAGGACACTCCATCTCCTGATTCATTTTTTTCACTGGCCAAGATATCCTCTTTTCTCATTTCTACCTCCTGGACTTCATTGATTTCATGAACACTTAGCTCAAACCCTATCTCCTGCAAGAGGCCTTTCCCATCCTGCCCACTCACCCCCACCCCACTGTTAGTGCCTTTCTCCGATATTACCTCCCATCTACACTATATATATGTTGTATGTATGTATGTAGTTTTTTTTGCATGTTTTCTCTCCCAGAAGAACAGGAGTTCCTTGAGAGTAGAGACTATGTGTTTTTATCTTCCCCCCCCCATCACCAGTGTTTAGCATAGTACCTGGCATACAGCAGGAACTTAATAAGTGCTTGTTGACTTGAGTGACTTAGTGTTTACTTAAATGTATTCTTATCTGACCTTCAGAGTTCCCAAGTCCTAGGCTAGGTGATGCCTCCAGCCCCATGAAGGATAACATGTGCATTCAGTTCATTGGATGACAACACAGTGGCTTCTAAGTCATCTACTCATCTGCAGAAAGAATCCTAGCTTCTAAGTCCTGGTGACTTTTCCTGGCTTCAGAGGGATTCTAGGACAGTGTCTGGTGGGGTATTATCTGGTATCTCCATTCACAAATCTACTTTTTAGGATCTTTGAGCATTATAATTGGTTAAGAAGAGAAAATATAAAGGGAGAGAGTGTGGCTCACTCCATGACACACCTTGAAACATTATTATTAACTACAAAGAGATAGAAAACTTTTAGAAGTTTCTTATCTGTGTAGTCCCAGAGCTGAGGATACTAAATAGCAACAATGAAAGGAAAGCAGATACCCTGAAGTTTGTTCACTGTTTGAAACTCTCAACTCTTTCAAGCCAGCCTCCAAATACTAAAGCCTGTTTTCCATATAGCTTTTGTTTAACTTCACATATTAGGGCATCTTGAATCAGTAAGGTGGATCATAAGGCAAGTGCAGCAGGATCAAAAAGGCTGTCAGAATAGGAAGCAAACTATAGGTCATGACTGGAGTGGAAGAGAAAGGAGACAAGTGGTATGGCTAAGGAGACCCTGAACTCAGGAGTAGCAGCAGAATCCTGACAATCTTGACAATTAGATCACCAGTCTGCCTTGAGAGGCCTTCATAGATCACTAAAAGGCAGATGGCACTAAACACTGTTTTGCTTTTTTTTTTTTTTTTGAGCACCGAGCTATCAGTTCTGAGGGAGAACCATGCCTCTCCTTACACAGTGCTCAGAGGATAAATTAACCAAGGATGAAATTAGCTATAAGAGACTTCATCCCATTTATGTAATGGAGACTTCAGGCCCAAATAAGAAGAGTCTGATCTGTCTACCATTCCTGGATCCTTTATATTGGAACTCCGATCATGCCAGTCCTATGTTTTAGAAATTCAGTGACTCCTGATAGCCTCCAAGATTGAAATACAAAGTGGCTTGCTTGGAATTTTTTTTGAGGCTTTTGGGGTTAAGTGACCTGCCCAGGGTCACATAGCTAGGAAGGTTAATTTTGAACTTAGGTCCTCCTGACTCCAAGGCCTGAGCTTTTATCAGCTTTACCACCTAGCTGCCCCTATTGTTTGGAATTTAAAGCCCTTCACAGTCTAGAATAGACCCAGACTTCTTTTCCAGGTCGACTAGAAATTACTCTCCACTTCAAGCTCTTTACATTTCAGTCAGATTACATGAGATAACATTTGTAAAAAGCACTTAGCACACTGCCTGGTGCATAGCACATAGCTATGGCACATAGCACCATATACATGCTTATTCCCTTTCTCCCTTCCCCAGTCACACTGAACCACTTGCCCTTCTCCATGTATCCTTTGGGCATCCAAGTCCACTATTATCCTCTACACTAGGCTGTTTATCCATTGCAGCTGTCACAGGTTCTATACCTCTGGAAAGACCTCTCTCCTCACCTTGAGGATCTCTTGAGACTCTTAAATTTCTCCAAAGGACAAATCTTCAAGAGACCTTTCTAGTTATTAGTACCTTGGCTTTTCTCTCATCCCCAAACCACTTTGCATTTATGTTGTATCTATCCTGTATTTCTTTGAGGGTGGGGTGGGTTGAATGTCTTGCAGGAGACACTATAAAACAGTAGAAAGTCTACTGGGCTTTGGAAGTAGAGGACCCTCATTCAAAATCCTGATCTCCCATTTGCTACCTTCTTGACCTTGGGAAAGTCAATTCGATTTTTTGGCCTTCACTTTCTCATCTCTAAAATGAGAAGTCTGGAATAGATGATGGCTTAAGATTCCTTCCAGCTCTAAATTACGATCAAATGATTTTCTTTAGTAAATTGGAAACTCCTTGAATTTAGGCCTTGAAAATTTGAACAAAGTAAGCACTTAAGAAATGCTTATTGAACTGATTTCAATTGTTAAATCCCCATAGTTCAACAAACTGGGAATTTGAGCTTCACTATATATAGAAATCTCTATAAAAGGGAGAATCCTGAAAACAGAAATTTCAAGGAACCTTTGGGGAAGTAGTTTTCTATTCAATAGAATGTCATTTACTGTGTGCATAGCACTACCCTACCGTGCATTGTGTACATATTGAGAGATCCGAAAGAAAATTGTAAAACTTGGTTCTTCCTGAGTCTAAATTCTAATCCAAGATGGAAAAGGAGTGAACTGGACACCGAGCAAAATCAGAGACCGAGACCAATGTTCAACTCAGAAGGCATTTATTGGCCGGCCAGCGGCAGTCCAGGATGCAATCGCTGGAGGCTGCCCCGAGCCCAAGTTACAGCAAGCTTATATAGCCCCAAACCGCAAGCATTTCAACAGTGTCTGGGTGACAGATGGCAGGGATAGTTATGGGGCAAGTCTAGGAGGGGACCAGATGTTCTTTTCAGTTATACACACCCTTTTCGTGGTCGGCCTTACTTCCTTATCAGGAATAGAACAGAGAGGGTGTTGAAACAAGTGAGGGGCCCAAGGGTGCTTAGCAGGGAGCAAGCTCAAATAGGCTTGGCCTAAATTGGGTTAGAGCAATCATGTTGGAAAACTGGGCAGCATAGGAGGAATCTAAAAAATCTTATCATCCTTCTTTTAATGAGGGAAGAGGAATTTTTCCAGGGATAAGCATATCCCTGAAAACCACATCTTACTAATCAGGGTACCTCTTGATAATATTCATAACCACAAAAATTTAGAAACGGAAGTGACTTCAACATTATCTAGTCCAATTACTTCTTTGACACACGCAGCCTATCTACGTTAAGAAAACCTACAAAGAACCACACATTCAGAGTTGAGGAACTCAAGTCTGCTACTCTGGTTTAGATTTTCTGACAGGACCTGGAAATTAGTCATTAACGATTGGCTCACCAATTTTCCCGCTAAGGTACTTAATTGTATCCTTTTGTTTCCAGCTTACCCCGGGCCCAACTGCCCTTGGGTGAGCCGGCCAGAATATTTCACTAAGAACAGGAAAGATTTTTTTTCTGCATTGTGCGGAAACTCTGCAGCTATTTGCAGAGCCAAGGGATGTAAGAGCAACTTTTTTAGTATTGAAATGTTAAAAGCAAGTCCTAAAGTCTTACATATATCTCGTTTAAGCTAAAGGTAGGGAAGGTTTTTAATCTTTGCAAACAAGACTGGTTGCGGCCCTTTGAAATGAAAAGTTTGATGGGCCCTGAAAAGGGCCTTTTTTCTTCTGGGGAATGGTGAGAGCGCTGCTTTTAGCCGCCGAAGCCGTAGAGGGTTCGGCCCTGGCGCTTGAGTGCGTAGACCACATCCATAGCAGTGACCGTCTTCCTCTTGGCGTGCTCGGTGTAGGTGACGGCGTCCCGGATCACGTTCTCCAGGAACACCTTCAGCACGCCGCGGGTCTCCTCGTAGATGAGCCCCGAGATACGCTTGACGCCGCCGCGCCGGGCCAGACGACGGATGGCAGGCTTGGTGATACCCTGGATGTTATCGCGGAGCACCTTCCTGTGCCGCTTGGCACCCCCTTTGCCCAGCCCTTTGCCTCCCTTGCCACGACCAGACATAATGACTTACAGACCTCCACTGCACAGCGTATCTCTCGGCGGGCTGCACTCCCTTAGATATCTATCTATCTATCTATCTATCTATCTATCTATCTATCTATCTATCTATCTATCTATCTATCTATCTATCTATCTATCTATCTATCTATATCTATCCACCGGGCCGACCTGTTTGGGAACTGAAACAGCCTGGGCGGGAACTAGACTTCCCTAGGTCTCTTTCCGGGTCTGTTCCGGCTGTGACACTGCGGATGTGCCAACTCTAACTCGTTCTGAGAACTCGCTCTCTTTTTTTTCCTTGGACGTAGGAAAGGCATTTTCAGAGCTTGTTTTTAGGAAAAGTTCTGTGCTCTTCCTTATTTTGCTTGTGGAGCTTACGGCAAGAACCCCAAAAGCCCGATGGCTTTTTCTTAAGGTTGCAGCTAACATAAAATACACACTAGAAACGAAACTAAAATGCTTCTAGTGTTTACATAGCCCAGCGTTCAACACACACATGGGAGGAAAGGAGAGTTACAAGACGCTGTGTATTTAAATTATTATTAATCATCTTTCCATTGACTGGAAAAAAGGGGGAATGCTCACTGGTAGAATTCACATAGGCATATACACACGCAATACTTCATTTCACTTTTAGCATTTGTACAGAAATAGTAAAATTGTACTCAGAGGTTCAGAGCGAGCAAGGCAGTTCTTGACTTCACTGGTGGAGTAGGATGATCCGGGATTGGTGGATACAGCGGGAAAGTTTCCTCTAGGTTTGAGAAGAGAACCCTCTGGAAAAAAAAAAAGACGAACAAAAGGAGAAATGATTGCTACATTTATGGAGATGAGACAGCCAATTGGAGGGCTAAAAAGACAGCAAACCACGTTGTCAGCAGAGTGGCGCAGCGGAAGCGTGCTGGGCCCATAACCCAGAGGTCGATGGATCGAAACCATCCTCTGCTAGGCAAAGGTAACTTTTAAACGTTTCTCTTTTCAAACTCGAAGAGCTATTCAATTTTAGATTTTGAAAAATACATATGCTATTTAGCTTCATAATGGAAAGAAGAAAATGAAAAGGCAAAGGAGTCAGAGGAAGCATAACATTAACCAAGGGAAAAAGGGTGGATTGTCTGACATCTGCAGCATTTCCTCTTGAAATGTGTCATTAAAAAAACCCCCACAACATGCCTCACATTTCCACGTAGAGATGTGAAGGATTCAGTGTGCAGATCGAGGCTTTCATTTGTTCCTTTGGTGTGTTTTTTGGCCAGAGCCAGAATTTGTCTGGGTTTGTTTGTTTGTTTTGTTAACAGGTTTTGCTTTTCTTGCTTCCTCAATGGGGGTTGAGGTTGGACGATGGGAAGGGAAGTGGAAGAGAAGCCGCACCTTAAAGTAAAAGAAAACTGAATTTAAAAAAGAAATGTATCATCAACCTTTATCACTCAAATGTTGCACTTACAAACTTCAATTATCAGCACTGTTAACTGATGTGTCCACTAAGGGTGAGGATAATTCTTATTTTGTCTTTGAGGTGAATTAGTCTGTATGTTTAAGATGATTAATGAAATAGAGGAAAGATGAGGTGAAGGAAAGTTGAGTATAAAGTTCCAGAAAAAGTGGGGTGACCCTGGAGAAAGCAAGAATCTTCTTAGGCTAGATTGGAGATTGATATGTCTTTATCTTGCTCCAGGGGTAATGGGCCACAAATGGGCCTCCTAGGTCAATCTTGGGGTACCTATATGTAACTAAGAGTAGGGGGCTTTTGGAATCGACTTATGTTTCTGCATTTTTGTAGAAATTACAAAGATTCTTAAGATAATGTTGAAGTGGGATGGGGAGAGAATACTTCACATAACAGTCCCTATACTCATGCATTCATCAGTTTGTTTACTCACAAATTCCTATTGATATGGATACAAAGGGTGCCCTAGGATTAAAAATAATATTAAAGGTTACTTTCCCAGGCCCCCTGAGGGGATTTGAGATTCATTCTGTAGCCCATCCTGTAACTTGAGATCCTGGAGCTTGAGAGGTTCTCAAGTTCTTTTCCCCTTATCGTGAAATACCGTATAACTTGTACCGAAAGAATTGCCTTTGTCTCCCTTATGCTGTCATTCGTCTTTCTCATCCTGTGTCAGCACAATTTTTCCTTATCTTGCAGGTAACCATCGTCCTCATCTTCTTTGTTCTTATCCTGTCTCTAATCTTCAACCCCCATAAGAAACCCTAAAATTACATCATCCTGCAGGTTATATAGCTTTCTGTCTATATAAGCCTGGGTCTTGTCCTGTATGGGGGTCTTTGTTTAGCACCTTGCTAATCACACATAATAAAGCTCCCATTGGTTAAGAGAAAATCGTCTAAGTGCATTCTTTCACACCTGAACCAGCTCTCCCGACTCTAACCTCAACAATATGTACATAATACAGACATACATGCACACACTTGTGTTAGGAACCAAAGAAAATGTAAAAAGGAAATGACATATCTGGACCCTCATGAAACTTTCAATCTAGTGGGCATTGAACCCTGCGTATTTAGAAGCCATCCGCTTTTCCATTCTGGGCCTCAGAAAGGACCCAAGACCTCAGGGACAAATGGAAACTTTTTGGGGCGTTCAGTGGAAAGATATGTAAAGGTACAACTAGTTCTCTTCCAAGTACTTGGTAAAGTCAGGTCTGCTTGACTAAAGAAGATCACCCCTTTTCATCGATGTTTTTTTAAAAAAAAGACTTCAAAAAACCAGTTTTTAGGTTATACTTTGTTATTCTACTATACAGGACTCAAAAATCACATGTATTTTTTTCAAAAGGGCATTAACTCTTCACACATATATTTGGAGATACGTGCACATATTCATCACCATAACTATTCATCTACCTTGCTAATAGAGGTCTTATTAAAACTTTAGAATAATCTGACTAAGCATTCAGTTATTCATTTCTGTTTTTAGTTAAATAATATGTATTAGGTGTCTACCATATATCAAACAGTACATTTAATGAAATTTAACTATGAACAAAATACTGAACTAGTAACCTGAAAGGAAATGAAGAAATGAAACATTCATGAGATAATTCAAAGCGTACGGTAGTCGTGGCCGAGTGGTTAAGGCGATGGACTTGAAATCCATTGGGGTTTCCCCGCGCAGGTTCGAATCCTGCCGACTACGGTATGTTATTTTGGGACACAACATAAAAAAAAGAGTGACCATCCGTTCCACTTGTGTAAATGTGGAGATTCTACTGATTTAAGGTTGACAGCTTCCTTCTTTCTGAAAAGAGCGACGGTAGGAATGGCCAATTCGTCTTTGGACGTCCCTCTGATTCAATTTATACGTCTCCGGAATGAGGAATCTATTTCTAAAATTCCTCCCTGCTTCAAAACTCAAGTATGATGTTTGCTATAAGACGTCAGGAAAGAAGGGGCTCCAGAGGGGGATTAGAGCAATGGATTTTGAACAGAGGATGGATACATTTTTATAGATGAAGATACATGCCGAAGACACCAGACATTTGGAGTCAGAAAACCCCGCAGCAAATTCTGGGAACATAAATTTTACTGGAGAAGAAGCAATCAGTATTGGTTCCATGAAAGCAGGGATTCAGGCTTTGCTGACTGTGCACCTTTGTATCTCCTCCAGCTCCTAAAACGGTAAGTGCTTAATAAAGTTCGTAACCGGTTGTTTCACAGATTGACCAAAGCCAGAGAATTTGTCACCGAGAGGGCTCAGGTGACTACCTTCATCACCGAATTAAAGGTATAGAACCTTCTAGTACAAAAACTTGGACGAGCCCAGGCTTGTGCTGAACTTTATTTCCTAGATAGATATTCGGAGTCATTCGAAAATCACTCCGAAAGGTTTTCCCTGAGTTAGCCTGAAACCGCTATTTTCCAAATTTTCTTCACCTGTAAAGGGTTAAAATCTACAGCTTTAGTAAGCAAGAGAAACCGACGAGGATGGGATTCGAACCCACGCGTGCAGAGCACAATGGATTAGCAGTCCATCGCCTTAACCACTCGGCCACCTCGTCTCTTTATTTAGGTAGTGGGATTAGCTTCTATAGTAGTGAAGAGTATTTCTCTAGGGAGGAAATAAAAGTCAAGAGAATTTTTTTACGTTTCTTTCTTTCACTAGAACAGTTCTACAAAATACGTTATATGAACGGCCTAAACCCATAAAAGGGGGGTATTGAAAAATTTAGAAGGTCCCACCGAGATTCGAACTCAGATCGCTGGATTCAAAGTCCAGAGTGCTAACCATTACACCATGGGGCCTTTTAGCGAAAGTGAACTAGCGCAATTGATCCTTATTTGACGTAGCCAATTTTTTTTTTCTTACTATGACCACGTCTCTCGTTTGCATTTTATGGTTTCCCAAACGGTTGCACTTGAACTGTCAACTGGAGGGGGGAGGGGCGGGCTGTGGCCGCCCAGGCTCGCAACCCTTATCAACAGGAGCCCGAGAAGAGGACGAAGCGGGCCCGAAGCTGGGCTCAGCCTGGTCTCCCACCCGACTCACAATAGGCCCCTGAAACACTCTCCCTCGAGCTAGGCCAAACTCGTATTCGCCCGCTCGCTCAACAACCAGGGAACAGCAGGAGGGTTGGGGGGTGGGGGGTGGGTTGCCAGAACCCAGAGGTCCGGATTCCCAGAATGCACAGCACCGGATGTGAGGAGAGAGGGGAGAGACTCCGCACGTTGCGCCTGCGTCTGCGCGGGGCTGTGATTGGTTCGCAGAGAACTCCCGGCAGGAGGAAGTAGGGGCTGGCGCGGCGTTCTCCAGGAAGGGGGAATATATTCTTTCCTCAGGAAAGGGGTTCGTTGGAGGATCCAGCATCTTCGATCCCCCGTGCTCCCGTGCTGTGGGTGCGGCGTGGCCAGCCTTATCTAGTGGGGTGAGACCACGATATCCCCTAACCCCCGGGAAGATGATCTCTTAGTTTTGCATACATACGTACACACGTATACATCTAGATACCTATGTCTGTGAAGGTATATTTGTATGTACAAATATCTGTTGTTGTAGCAGTTAAAAAATTAAGGGAGACCGAGGCACAAAGTTCCGAGCACAATCGATTTATTGGTGAACCCCGTATTTACCAATAAATAGGATCTCAGCTTCCACAGTAAAGACCCAGTTATGGGGTTAACAGCTCTTTTTATAGTTTGGGGGAGTACAGAAAATAGAAAGGCTAACATCATGGATGGAAGAAAATATGATTGGTGAGAAATTGGGAAGGAGGGCTAGCAACAACCCCCTCCTTCCCTTCTGTGACTAAGAAACGTTAATTGTTTGCGTCCAGCAATGTCTGCAAGGACAGGGATAGCAAAGCAGGCTTCTTTGCATAAAAAAAACAGACGTTCTTCAAGGATATCTTGGTGGTGTTAAGATACTAGACCAGACTCCCTGGTGTCCACCTGCATCCTTCAAGGATAACAGATTTCCTTGACACAGGAAGAGAACAGAGGATTTCTAAACTTAACTCATTACAAGCCAGCTAAATTTCTGAATTAAATTCAGAGACAAAGAATCATGACTTAGTTACAGAATAAAATCAATGAATTGTAAATAAGATCACTAAAAAAGACAATCTGATTATTTCAATGAATATAAATATGTTTCTATATAGATATCTAGGGACGTATATATTTATGTATGTAGATACATAAATATATAGCATATCTTTCAGGAGATGTTTATACATATATAATATAGACAGATAATCTGTAGATGTTTGTTGATATATATTATGTGTATAAATATATTTATAGATATACTGAGATATGTGTGCTATTAGTATGTACAGATGTCTATAGATAAATATGTATTTAAATATATTTGTGTATAGGTATCAATAGGAGATATATTTTTATACTGGCATATATAAATATAAACAGGTATTTACAAATATTTATATGTACTCATATAAATATATTGACA